CTTTAACATGTATATTTATACTTTAAAATTAAAATTTTTATTATTTATTTTAATTTTTAAAAATTACAAATTTAATTTAAAAATATGAAATATTATAATTATAATTTTAAATTTTTTAAAAAATTTAAAAAAATAAATAATAAAAATAGGTTATAGGTATAACCCAGAATTCTTTAAATAAGAGTTGGGTATTAAAAATAATTTATTTAAAAATGACGGAATTTATGAATTTGAAGTTAAATAAGCCGAGCCCACATAGGTCTAGCCACTCGGTTGCTGGCTCTACATTTGTGTGTTGTTGCCATGGTTACTAGTTGTAAAAGTTTGTGTATTCCACTTTTGTTTATTTCTATATGTTCTCAAATTCATCCATATGAACAATTCCATGAAACAGTCAATTGTTCAAGAGGATTCCATGTCTAAAAAAATTTTCTGTGAGTTAATTGGAGAAATCTGAAATACCAAAGGGGACAGTCCCTTCCAGGTAAATCAAATGATTCCATATCAAAATCTCTTCTTCACTTACTTTAAATTAAATAATATATTAAATTAAGAGTTTTGAAATTTTAATTTGCGGATTGAAAAGATAAGCTATTACATGATCTATAATCCTTTTGCCCATGATGTGATCGTAAGTTGACACCATGCAAGCCAGGGGAAACATAAAACCTATTGTGATGTGAGCCTCAAGCCTTTTAGGCTGATATAATCTCTACTCTCTTAAATTTTTTTTGTAAAAAAAAACTATCACTTTTTTCTTATTTTTTTATATAAAATAAATTATATATTTCAATAAATATTTATTATATATTTTTCAAAATAACCTCTCATAATTTATATTAAAAAAATAATTAATACATATTTATGTTGATTAACATAGGACATTTTAGTCTAATCTTTTTATTTTTAAAAATAATTATTATAATTAATTAACTTTTTTTAATTGTGTGATACAATTTTTTTATATATATAAAAACGGAGGGAGTATTTCTCTAGAAATTTATTAAATATGCTGTCCATCGAACCCACGATCACTTGGTTAAAAGATTAATTGAAATTTGAAAAGAATTTGACCTTGTTCAATTTAACGGAGGAAAAAAAAAAGTCATTGGATACACTTTCCAGAAATTTACAGCACTTGCTCTTCTTATTTCTGAAAGAGTAACCTTACAAGAAATAGAATTATTTTAAAAAAAAATTAATTATTTAATCCATAAAATTTTAACTCACTTATAACTCAATTATTGAATTCTAACTCTTTATAATTTAATCCTTATAGTTTTGAATTGATTGTAGTTTAATCCTTGAACTTTGATTTTTGTGACTCAATTTTTATTGTTTTAACTAATTAAAATTTTGCTCCCTATGTTTCAAAAAAAATAAAATTATAAAGATTAAAATTATGTTAAAATTTAGAACTAATATTCTAAATTATTAAACCCTTTTAATCGTAAAAAATTATAAAAATTAAAATGTTAAAATATTTATAGTATTATAATTTTATTTTTTTAAAAGTATACAGACTAATATTTAAATGATTAAAACTATAGAGATTGAATTGCAAGAGTCAAAGTTTAAAAATTTAGTTACAACCTAGTCAAAATTATAAGAATTAAATTATAACGAGTTAAAATTCAGAAACTGAATTATAATTGAATCAAAACTATAAGGACCAAATAATTAATTTTTTTATTTTAAAGAATTAATTCCTTGAAATTGTACAAGTGGAACCCAAGAAGCAAGATGATAATATCTACATTACACTGAAAATCATGGACTTGGTTTGGGAAAGAAGAATGAAAACTATGTTCTCCCAAAAGAAAACGAACAAGAGTATCAATTCCTTACAATTCTGCTATGCATTAGTGTTGCAAGTCAATACACTGAAAATCCACCTAATTGCTTCTTGGATAAGCATCTTATAGAGAAGCTAGGTTGAATGCCTATTTTTTTTCCTTTACCTGCTTCATTACCATAATGTCAGGTCCCACATCTGAGGGACTTGGGGAGGGTCTTAGCTATATAAGTGGGTGCGCTGCACGCTCTAACAGGTTAATCTATTAGGAGAGAAGGTAATGGTGCTTGGACCCTCTGTGGAGGGAATAGGGTGGTCCCCCTGGATGGAAGGGGAGAGAAGTTCGCTACGCACTCATGAAGGTTAGCCTTTTGGGAAGAGAGTAATGGCCCTGTGATAAAGTAGTATCAGAGTCAGATCCAAGTTTGCCCAATCGGTGGACCCCTCTGGTAGGCCACCCGTGACGAGAGCGTCATGGATTGGCTGGGGGAATTGTCAGGTCTCACATCGGAGGGACTTGAGGAGGGCCCTAGTTATATAAGCGGGTGCGCTGCACGCCCTAACAAGTTAACCTATTAGGAAAGAAGGTAATGGTGCTTGGACCCTCCGTGGATGGAATGGGATGGTCCTCCCTGGATGGAAGGGGAGAGAAGTTCACTGCGCACTCCTGAAAGTTAGCCTTTTGGGAAGAGAGTAATAGTCCTGTGACAATAAGCTCTCTTGTAGTCTCTTCTAGTCACCAAAAATTGATCACATGTTGGTGCAATAGATTGCTATACCAAAATTCAATGGTAAAGCGTCTGTCCAGAAGTCCCCCATTAAACAAAACTTTTGGGAAATTCCTCTAAAATAGGAAGAATGACAACTAAGTTTTAAATGGATTAATTTATTTAATCTAAGTTCCAAGTAATTTCAAAATACAGTAAGTCTCTTGATTTTAAAGTGACATTTTGTCATTAGTCTGACAGGTTCATAGATATGCAACTTTGTATACCAATTTTATAAATTAATTGTAATGAATTTATGAATTGCCTTGTTCTAAAAAGGAACATAATTTATAAGTTTGGCTCTTAATTTTATAATTTTAAATTGATAAATGTGCAACTTATTTCTTAAATTTTAATAGAAGAATCAGATGTTAATGCTTAAAGTTGAAAAATAATAAAGTCATTATTCTAGCAACTCTAGGGATTTACAAGTTTAAGAGGAAAAAGTTAATATTTAAAGTTGATATTATTTTAACACAGATTATATTTAAAGTTGATTGAAATATTAACACAGATGTTAATATTTAAATTTAAAAAATAATAAAGTTATTATTTTAATTTAACAGCTTTAGAAATTTGTAAGTTTGTCTTTCAATTTTGTAATTTTAAGTTGATAAATTTATAACTTGTTTTTCAAATTTTAAGCATAGATTTAACTTAAGGGCATTTTTGTCAATTCTTTTATAAGTTGAATTTGTTAAAAAAAAAAACACACACACACACACATGAAACTTTATTGGTATTTTGAAATTCATTAAGACTTAAGTTGAATTAATTGATTTTTTTTTTAAACTAGTTGTTATCCTGCCTTAAAAATATTGGACTGCACATTATTTCTGTAAGGTAACTCTGGTTGACGTTGCTCCCTTGACAACAGAAAAAAACAATTAATAACTGACATAAAGGCTAGTATATACAGAAAATCATCCTGATGCAATTCTCAAATGAATTATTGATAAAAGGTTGTTAGGCATGCAATACATCTACTATCAGACCAGACACTACTACAAAATACCCCCTTACTTGACGGTTATTTTAGAAATTATTTGACGTTTTTAACCGTCAAGTAATGAGGCGCCATATATTTATTTGACGGTTAAAAACCGTCAAATATTTTAGAGATTACTTGACAGTTATTTCAAAATAACCGTCAAATAATCACTTAAACATTTGCATATACTGCAGCAATATACTTGAGTATTTAGTAATATTTGACGGTTATTTTGTAACAAGTGTCAAATATGCTTTCGCAAATTCTGTGTGCCAAATACTTGATGATTATTTCATAATAACCGTCAAGTATTCGTACATACTTGACGGTTATTTTGAAATAACTGTCAAGTAAACTTATACTTGACGTTTCTTTCTAAATAACCGTCAAGTATTTATGATGTGTTTTTTTAAAAGCTAGGGGCTGCTTTTTAAGCAACCCCCTACAAATACAAAGCAATCAAATATATATACCAGCCAGCCAACAATAAAAAACAATTGAATCATTATTTATATTGAAATTACAATCTAAATATCTTTAATTTATCTTATATTTACCTATACTCTAAACCCGATGCCATAAAAAAATCTATAACTTTACCTACTTTACAAGTTTAAATTTCAAAATTAATTGGCCTCAGACATAAAATTGACCAAAAAAATAAATGTGTACACCAAAACTAATTGGGCCTAACCACTGTTGCTATCCATATGTTAAACACAGCCTGAGCTACCTCTTCAAAGGTTTCCTCTATATGTGCAGCTACATACTGAATACAGTAGGCATCCTCGAAGTACTGTATGCAAAGAGTTACAACAAATTCAAGTTAATAGCTATCTAATAAAAGTTGTTAAAATTTATAATTTAAGTATTATTAAATTTAATATATACCTTGTTAGATAATGTGGTAGAGGCATGGGTGATAATGTCCTTTAAGAATCTCATCAAGCAATAGCCACAATCATTACTCTGATCTGGCTGGAGTGGATACTGTGCAAAAAAAATCACATATCAATAAAATAATAGTTAAAAGGCCATGGTTTATTAATTAAAAACTCAGTCCATTAGGTTTACCTTAACTGTGACCTATGTCTCACAAGAGTCCAATACCCTTAAGCTAGGGGACAAGGTCTTGTTGGTCGCAGTTCGATACAAGACCACAGCTCTAAGAAGGAAATAAAAAATAAATGTTAGAAATTCAATATATATGGATATTAAAATAACAATTAATAAAAATTTAACTTACTTATCAAAAAGCTCTACCATATCTGGCCTATTGCTTGGTTCTCTGTTAAGAGGATTAAGATACCAAATTTTTAAAGCAACAGGGTTAACCACAATAAGCATCCAGTGCCCCCTAATAAGAAATAACAAGTGTTATCAAATAAGTAAATATAAAAAATATTTACTTGTACCAAAAGTAGCTAGAAAGTGGCTTACCCTTGACAGTAAGGAGCAAGAAATAAAGTATCATTGCTTGCTCCCCTATCCTTAAATTGATTCGAAAGCTGCCTTGCTTGATCTTCAAGAGCTTCCTTTGTAATTCCATTATAGGCAGAGACATCGTGGGGATTAATCAGCTTGAATCTCGACTCAAGGTCGCCAGGAACCACAAATGAGGTATAAAGGTGGCTCAGGTAAAAAAATAACCAGGTTAATACACACGCGTGCACACATACATATATATAATTTAAGTAATTAACTGAGCATTATCGAAGAAATACCTCATGTAGAAGCTCATCAGACTAGTACTGGCCATTTCGTGCTTAAGAATTTCATTCAAAATTTCATCCCGAACAACTTCAAACAAGCCTGATCTTCCATACAGCCCATCATCAAAACTAATGATATCCCCAATCGCAACTCGACGAGCCATCCTTGTAGCCATCGCATATGTCTCAAGAGAGGCACGGTATTTGTATTCGACAGCTGGCACCAGTGCTGCTAGATATTGCGAAATTGTGGCTAACTCTTTGGTATGGCCCAACTTACCTTTTAGCTTGCTCTTCCCTTTCAGCTGCACAACAAAAAAGTTAGATATTTATAATTATATTATAAAATTATAAATAACTATTTAAACCGTACCTTTTTCTTTGGAGGCAATAAGTCCTTTGCCGGCTTTGGTGTTACCACTATTACAAGGTGGCTAGGTCATGCAACGAAGCTCCCTACTGCTTCCCCCACCGTCTGTGCCTCATCAGTAGGAATAGGCAATGGATAGTTGGGGTTGATGGCAACAAGTAGAGAAACTCTAACATAGTCGGGCGGGAGGGGATGATTATGGATTGTGTCCCCTAGAATGTTATACACACGCCCTGTTGCAACCACTCTACGTTCAGGAGTGTCTGCCAAACAATTGCAATCGTTCTCGCCCTAATTAAACAAACAATGACAATCAGTTTCTAAAATAAAAATAATTAGACAAATTCATAAGGTAAAACGTATTACCTCAGGTAGTTTTTCTGAGGGGACTATGCAGCTATCTTTCTGACTAGGGCTAATCTCACCCAAAGTCCTCCCAAGGACTTGCCCTTTCAACAACATGTCAATTAATGCTGCCTGGGCTAGTAGTTGCTGCTTCATAACAGCTTGCTCTTCTTTCAGCTCTTGGACCTCAGACGAAGAAGCTAATGTTCGCTTTTTTATCTTGCCAAAATATTGCTTCTTCATGACTCCGAAGCCAACACCCTTGACACGACCAGGGTGGTCAGCAGTTCCTCACCCTAGCCAATATATCCTCATCCTCAGGAAGGTTGCCTTGTGAGACTTCCTGAGAGATGAAATCCTGCGTAGAGTAAATATGTTTAGTTTGGATATTCATAATTAATTATTAAGTAGTAGATAAATATAATACTTACAATCTTTTCAGTAACCTCCTTCACGCGGGGGTTGTCAATAATTCCTTCTTTTTTAATGCGTGCCAATGCCCAGAGCTTATAACGGGATATGATAACCTCTGATCCCTCCTCCTCTAATTGTTTCTGCTCAATGCCTGCATACCCCAACCTCCCTGCTCTATAAGGATATTCGTTCTTCGCTACTCTCTCCTTATTCTGTGTACTTAATTCCTTGACGAGTTAATAACAAAAATTTTTGTTAGTATATACACATATAATCAATAAATAACACCAAACTTGAAATTTAAGAAACATTAATACCTTGAATTCCTTCTCACGCCATGAGGCAACAAAAGCATCTCAATCCTCTTGTTTTACCAAAGGCTATAATAAGGGAGGAACTCGAGCTATAAATTCAGCATCAGGATCTTTCAAATATTTCTGTGTGATAAAATATCTGAAAAACCATAATGCCCTCCCAGCCTTTTATAGGACAAAATCTTGCCTACTCTCATCAATGTCAAATCCTGACTGCAAAATAAAATAAACAACATATCAGATGCATTAATTTTAAAAATAGTTTATACCAAAATATACTTAGTAAAATGTAACTTACTGCTACAGTATCCCAAATAAGAGCCTTCGTGGCCTCATCTACTTTACGCCATGATTTTACTGTGATAGGCACAGTAGTCTTTGCCACCACCCCAATATAACTTATGAATTTTGAGGATTTAATTGCTTGCCCTTTCTTGTTCCATTGCACATCAATTTTTTTTCCTGCAGCTCTTGTTTTTGTCACCTCTTCCATTATCGTTAGGCCTCGTTGAATGTTATTGTACTCCTGCTCTAGCTTTTTTTGTACACTCAGAACCTCAGTCGAATTTGTAGCCAGAATTGATAGAGGGGTATCAACAGACTCGCCATCAGAAGCCATTTATCTATAAAGGAAGACAATTAAATCAAACATTAAATAACTTAAACAAAATTCACATAATTAATTCAAACATTAATCAACTTAAATAAAAAGAACACAATTAATCAACTTAAACAAAATGCACACAATTAATTCAAACATTAATTAACTTAAATAAAAAGAACACAATTAATCAACTTAAATAAAAAGTTTTATCATTCAAGTTCTCATATAACTTAATTATACTCAATCAAGTTACCCAACAATAATTGATATAAAAATTTTATCCCAACAATCTATTTTGTCCTATAAATTCAATATAACTCAATCATATCTAATTAAATTATCCAACAACAAAATTAATCACCATATCACAATAAGGGAAGCAAATTTTCAACAAATTCATAAAATGCCCAACAATAAATTAATTTTCATATAATCTTAAATTTAATTTCAGAACTAACAAAGAACTGAAAACAAAAGCCTATATACATTCAATTACAAATCGTAGTTCTAATGAACAAAAAATTCATATTCCAATTGCTAATTCCAATCAACTCCCTAATTACAATCAATTGACAACAATATCATAAGGAAGAAGGATAGGCCAACTTACTTAAGAGAGGCAGAGCACGAGGACGAAGAAGAAGAGCAAGGGAAGGAGGAAAGAAGACAACTCACATTTTGCACTATTGAGAAGCAAGTAGGGGAATTTAAAGTCAGATTTACCCTAAACATTAAACCCAAAAATGAATTAAACAGATGAAGAAGAAATTAAACTTACATATGGAAGACGAAGAACGAACCCAAAACGCCCGAAATGAAGACTTGGATGAACGAACAACCCACAAACCCCAAAAAATGGAAACCACGAGCAAAACCCAAGAAGAATCGAGTCTAAATTTGTGTTTTTGGGCAGTTTTAGTGACGAAAAATGATTTCCGAGCACTCTGGGTGTATTTTCGAAAACGTTCAAATTGCAGAAATGTGAAAATAAAAGGTTCTGGAGCGTAAATTTAAAAGGCAATACTTGACGGTTATTTAATAATAACCGTCAAGTATTCATTACTTGACGCTTGTTATTAAATAACCGTCAAATAAAACTCAGACATACTTGACGGTTATCAATAAACAAGCGTCAAGTAATTAATTTTTTTTATTTTTCCTTTTAAACCATATATTTGATACTTTTTTACAAATAACCGTCAAAAAGACAATACTTGACTGTTATTTCATAATAACCATCAAGTATTTATTACTTGACGCTTGTTATTAAACAACCGTCAAATAAAATGCAGACATACTTGACGGTTATTAGTAAACAAGCGTCAAGTAATTAACTTTTTTTATTTTTCCTTTTGAACCATATATTTGACACTTTTTTACAAATAACCGTCAAGTACTCCAAAATATACTTGACGGTTATTGTAAAACAAGCGTCAAATATATTTATAAAAAAATCAAATCTGGGATGCATATATATTTGACGGTTATGCCAATATAACCGTCAAATATATATGCATCCCAGATTTGATTTTTTTATAAATATATTTGACGCTTGTTTTACAATAACCGTCAAGTTATACTAAATACTTGACGGTTGTTTTGAAACAACCGTCAAGTATTTAGCGCCTTTTTTATTTATCATTTTTCACTTATAACCGTCAAATATAAGTCGTCATATTTAGCTTATTCTGTTGTAGTGAGAGCACCATATATGGCTGCTTCTTCAAGACCAGTTTAAACTTTTTCAAGGGTTTCACACTCGGATCATTACAATGCTCCTAATGAACGTCGACTGGTATGGATAACTAGAAGACAATATCTCTATAACAGCATCATGAAAGTTGCAAGATATTACATGGGAAGAGTTAGATATTCTTTATATTAAGTGTGTTTAGGAATAGTTTGCTTCACCAAAATAGTTTAAGTCATTTTGAGTTAGATACATTCTAAGTTTTACATATTCACAATCTATTTTTTAATTTCTAAATATCTCTCTTTTCTTTTAATCTCTTTTGTTTCTTCTTTTTCTTCATCTTTCATTTTTGTCTTGATTGTTTTGTCTTAAGAATAATTTACTTTATTTAAAAAAACATTAAGCCATTTGATTGGATACATCTCAAGTTTTATATGTTCATGATTTATCTTTTAATTTTTAAATATGAGACTTTTTTTTTATTTCTGATAGGAAATGATAGTACCTTGATGAACCATGTTCACTAGTGATGGAGTTGTTTCTCCATCACTCCATGGGCAGCATTTTCCGAGGAAAGCTCGACAGATAGAGATCATAGTTGATAACCTGCATAAAGTAGTTCCATCCCTATATATAAAGTATTTTTAACTAAATCTCGTGTATCAATAAAGGTTTGTTATTTAGTTGAACTCACAAAAAATATGATAATTTTTCAGTTTTACCCCTAATAATATCATAATTAATATTATGATGGTGGTAGAAAAAATATACAATTAATAATTTATTTTATTTTTCAAGATAAGAGTAAGATTTTCTAATTATTCAAAAATATTATTGTCATTCTTTATATTTAGGGATAAAATAAGCTTTTAAAAAAACGCATCATATATAAAGATGGAGGGAGTACATGAAAACAATTTTATAGCATAAAAAAAGTGCATTTATAAGAACTACTCCATATATCAAACACCGGCAGTCAAGCAGAAGATTGATAATATTACTCATTCCCTCATCCAAAATCCCAATCCTCTCTTGTTTCGAACTTTTTATTTTTTTATTTTTGGTTAAAAGAAGAAAGTTTATCGGGAGAACCAAATAAACAAAGATGGAGGATAATAAATCCTCAAACAGAACCAAATAAAAACGAAAAGAGACTCATAAAAAGGATAGAATATGAAAATTTCCAACACAAGAAACTGGTTAAACCAACTAAAATTACAATGTTGTCACATAAGCTGCACCAATAGGCACATTCTACAGGGATGCTTCAAGCGATCATGACATATGTGACAGTTGGCATGTTAATAAAATGACTATTGTAACAAGTCCGTTTGAATTTTAGTTAGATATAATTGATTAATATAATTTATTTTAATTTTAATTGATTATATTATAATATAATTTATTTGGATACTATTTTCTAAATTAATTTTAGCTGTATAAATTATCATAAAAAACATTGCTTTTGAAATTAAATTATTGATAAAGTTATATTCAATATTATTAAATTTGTTAAATTTTATTTAAGAAGTAAAATATATTATTTAATAGTAAAATTGAATATATAAGCAACCTTTAAGAGTTTATTTCAAAATGTAATTCTGACTCAATAATTAATTATCAAAATTTTTAGCTATTTGGGTAATTTTTGTTAAAATCGATTATTTGGCTGAAATAATTTATTATTTATGCAATCCAAACAGGCTAGACATCTATAATATGTTCTAGTTGCACTAATTGGGAAATAGTCCCTCTAGTCTTATTTATAAGACATCTTTTAAAAGTAATAATTAAACTACTTTTTTTCAATTTTACCCATTCTTGATTAATGTAAATGTATTTAATATAGTTGTCTTATCAATTAATGCCAAGGGTAAAAATAAAAGTATCTCTCATTTTTTTTATGATATCAAGAAAAAAATTAACTTTTCTTAATATACATGAAATGTTTGAAAGTGTCTTATAATAAAGATCGGAGGGAGTAGGTAGTAAGCAAGCTGTTAACATCCTATCAAATTAGGTGCTTAGAAACTTAAGAGAAGCTTTCTACACATCTAATGACCACTTCTGGTACAACATTAGCTAGCATAAAAAGACATGGTTACTCTATCAAAAGTTCAACAAAACACCAAAGTTTGAGAAAGTAA